CAAATATCGGATGCTACCGTTGTAAAAAAATTAATAATAATGTATTCACATGCATGTGTAAATATATTTTTTACTCCTTCAGTGCAGTTTAACATGGTGATAATATGTTAACTATATTTTACCAGGTTATTATTACCGTTTATCACAAATATTAACTTATAGTTACCTCTCATAAGTGTATTGCTTACTTGTGAGTGTATAAAACAACTCATATATATAAAAAAATATTTTTTTAAAGTGCTTTATGGAGCAATTTGTCATTTGTGTATCTTTTAATCGTTGCTTCAGCGCTTGTACTTTGCTTAGTAGGAGGAACAGTGCTATGTGATCATAACATGTCAATTACTGTCAAACATCTTTATAACAATTTCGGTTGTTCCGATATTTTTTTGTTATTATATTGAAGTGCTATTATGGATGAGATATATTATTTCCTCGGTTTCAATTTAGATGAGTTAGTTTAACTCGACACGGAGGTTAAGAAAAAAAAAAAAAAAGACTTTTGAAACGTGTGATCTTAGAAGCCTGATGGGGTAAAAGCTTTGTGAGACCATGTCATTTGTGTGGTTATAAAAGCTTCTCATTAAGGGTGAAATGAGTAAAATAAAGAGTTTAAAGTTGAATTATTTTCAATCGTAGAAATGTATCATTCTTTTTTGAACTAACTAATAAGTAAAGTGTATCATCAAAATTGAAACGGAGGGAGTGTAACATAATATAAAAATCGGTTTCGAGAAAAACTAGGGATACTGTTACATAGAGGTGTGACTATACTTTTCTATTATACATTTAATATTTTATTGGACATAGAAATTAAAAGTAAGTATTACGAATGGAAATATACGTGGTTATTCTAGGTTTCTAGTATGTTTTAAGGACCATAATGAGTAGGCTAACTAACTTTTCTGTGACAGTTAATTGCTTTTTTCCTTAATGCCATTATTGTTTTTTCACATAATTATGGCTATTATAGTATATAGCTGGATTATTTGACTGGGATTCTATTCATAATTATCATTTGGTAGACCTTAGTGACTGTTGATGATTCGTGATAATCATGTCGTTGAAAAATTTATGCCTCAGACCAAAAAGAAAAAGTGATAATATTATTCCGGTTAAAGATAGTTTTTAATTCGGTGATTTTCTCTGTGTAAGTAACAATTTGTTGTGTAGGAAGTGCTTTGCCTCCTAAATCCTCGGTAGATTTCGAATAGCATATGGTTAAATTACAAAAAAATTGTTGTGTAAAATGCTTCTTTTCAGCATCATGAAATATAATTGTCCCTAGGTAAATGGTCTAGTGGTAAAATACGCAGCATCTGCAATGTGGTTAGGCGTGCGTCACGAGTTCAAACTTTGTCACAGTTAAACGTCTGGTATTTAAGTGAATAACGATAAAGGGGTGAGCCTATTATCCATTGAATTTTGAATCGAGCGCCATTTATCCTCGGGAATTTATCAGTTATCAAAGAAAAATACAATGTCCAAAATTATATTGGACAAGAGGTTGCTATCATGACCCCATTGTGGTTTTGCATGGTACTATTCAAGTTAAAAAGACTTTTGTGATTGAAACCCATGTTGTATGTCCCAGTTTTATGCATAATAGAAGACATTAATGCCCAGGATATGCTATTTTATACAAGGAGCCATTCAAAACATGTTTTTTTTAATTGACTGATTTACAATTTTTTGGTCAGTTTGTCCCAGTATCTAGCCAAAAATAATTATGTGGTAAGGAGAGATGAAGCTATAGCTTATATGACATCCTACCATAATTTTGACTTTAGAGACCAGAATGACATATGACCTTTTTTTTTGTTCTCTCTCTTTTAATAATTGGGTCGTTTGACGCACCTCAACTAATTTTTCGAGATATGACCTTTTTTTTGTTCTTTCTCTTTTAATAATTGGGCCAATTTGACGCACCTCAACTAATTTTCCGAGATATAACCTTTTTTTTTTGTTCTTTCTCTTTTAATAATTGGGCCAATTTGACGCACCTCAACTAATTTTCCGCAACTAATATTCCGAGATACCTGCTACCTTCCATCAATGCTTTTAAACCTAAAATCTCGGGGCATCTCCAACCTTTGCTCCCATTTTGGGACAACTTTACTCCAATCATTCTCCAATTTTTCCCCCAAAAGAGAATATTCTTTTTTATATTCTTCTCTCTCTTCTATATTATATTAATATCTTTCATTTCAATTTTATTTTTTAATTTTCATTAAACAAATTCCATCTTTTATTTTCATTAATTTGTAATTTCCATTACAACAATTCCATAAAATTTTAAATAATATAATTTGTAAGCAATTATGGATTAACTAATAATACAAATAAAAGTAAAATTATTGCGATACAAGATTAATTAAATACATATTACATAACAATAAAATTTATTTTAATGTATTTTAATTTAATGTATTTTCAATTTTAGCAACATCAAATATTTTATATTTGCACCTTTCATTTTTTGTGATGGATATATCATTTTCATACAATTATAACTCATAATAAAATTAACTACCAATTTTACATTTAAAAAAAAAATAGATGCACGATAATTAATTTTTCAAAATTATACGTCCAAGTTAAGATGAAAAATTAATTAGGTAAATATATTATATAAACATAATTAAGTATATATAAAAAGATAAATTAAAAGATTAAATAATAAAAATAATAATATTTTAATAGAGAATATTAAATGGGGAGATAATAGTGTTTCCCCAAATTTGGGAAGATACTATTCACTCCCCATTTTGGAATGGGGACAAAAATGGGGGAGTGTTGGAGTGAAATTTCCCCATTTTTGTCCCCCAAGGGGACAAGGTTGGAGTTGCTCTCATAGGAGCAGTAATCAACCCATTTCACTGACTACTAAGCCACACTCAGGAGTACTCCACTTTTGTTCCTTTCCTGGTGTGAGTTAATGCTGGGTTCAACAACAGCAACAACATACCCAGTGTAGTCTCACAAGTGAGGTACGGGGAGGATAGAGTGTATGCAGACCTTTCCCATGCCTTTAAAAAGGCATAAGGGGTTCAACATTGTCTCATTATTATTTTATTTTTTTTATTTTTGGAGAATAATGGAGCAGATTATTGAATTGGTTTAAAAATTCACATTCTAGATGGAGTATGAGTGGGAATATCTGAAAATTCTATAGCTGGCTACATTATGAGATACTTGTTAACTGTTCCTTTTTAGCTAAGCAACACTTGTCTAGTAATATTCACGAGATTATTCGTAAAGCTACATTCTATGCTTTAGATGTTTAGTTAATTGATTGCTAGAATCATGTTTTACAAATGCTTAATGGTGGATTGAACCACTTTATCAGCAAAAAGAGGGTGGAGAGAACTAAACACTTAACATATGAATATATATGCTCTTTTGGTTTCATTCCTTCATTTTAACTTCCAGACATTGCAAGTAGCCGTCAACAAGGGTAAACCACACTTAAAGTATTAAATTCTTTACATTGTCGGCGTATATAAGTTAAGTTCATTTGTTTTAAATGTTTCTCAACTACGCGGAGCTGCTTTTCTGATTTTCTTTGTTATTGCTTCAGATGACTTTTTACGCGAACGGAGTCTCAGTACTGATGCCCGGAGAAGAAGTTCCTACCTTCATTGCACATCCTGCACCTCCACCTTGTCCTCCAGAGTGTATTTCTCAACCCCGTCATCAAGACGACGACGCGTCTTCAAGTCCAGCCTTAACTTCTATTGGCCATATTCTCAATTGACAATACAGATATGAAACTGAAATCTATGGATATCATTATCCTGAACCTGTAAAAGTAGATATTGGTAGAAATGTCCCACTCATAGTGAGATGAAAACTTAAGGGCCTTTTTTCCCCTTGAGGAACTTGTCATTGTATTTACATAGTGTAATGTGATTTGCCTACTGGCTTTCTTCATTACTCCAGGGTATGTTCCAACTCCACCTCTTCTTTTCTTTTTCCTTTTATATTAAAGAGTTTAACTTCTGTACATTGATATGCATAAGTGTGCCTCCTACACAATATTATCGTTTTTGTTTTCCTTTTTTTTGCGTCCTCTGTCCCTACTTTTGACTCAGCTACAGCTCGTAGCTTTTGATATTTTGGAAGAATCTATTTTACGTCTCTTTTTCGTTGGAATAGGAATCATCTACTAGTTGGGAAGTTAATCTTCTGTTTCTGATTTTAGGTCCCTTTGGTATATTGGATTGACTCTGAAGCTTCACCCATCCGAATTTTCGTAACACTTTCCATTTTGAGACGTTGACACCACTCTCTTTCTCACAACTTTCAAAGTCAAATTTGTATGTTTTCTATATTAAAGTGACATTATTTTTTGGTTCTTTTAACACATTAAAAAATTTATCTTTTAGCATTAATTAATAATAAAATTGACCATATTAATCTTAATTTACTCATTAAAAATATAATAAATTACTCCTAGAAGTTAATTCCTTCCTGATATATGAAGAACTAAAATATTTTTTACCACAAAAAAGGTTAAAAAATCACTTAAAGTGGACCGGAGGGAGAGTCCGGAGAGTGCGTCTTGCTCTTGGGTCTCCATCGATATGCAGGAGAATTTTATAGAAACATAAGTTCTTTGTTATTGAAAAAAAAATAGTGAGCTCACTGCCCAAAATTCATCCCAAAAGAGGGAACAGAAGCTGCACATCCCAACAATAATTTCCTTTTCCAAAGACCTCCATAGGGATTACAATCTCAATAATCTCTTCATAGACACGAATTCATTTTCTTTCTCACAGACATGCAAGTTGGCCTGTCAATAGTATATGATTTTTTTTTCCAAAGTTTGAAATTTATGTTTAACTCTCTTTCCCACCGCCAGATAGTCTCGTTTATCTATAACGCTGAAAGTGAAAAAGTACAACCCCAGTGTAAATAGAGATTGTGTAGTAGCTTGCTTATTCTTGTTAGACTCTGATGCTCATTTTAATTATAAGTCTAGAGTATCCAACACTGTGAATGCCCACAGGACAGCCGTTGTATAGATTTTCTTTTCCCTATTGATTTCAACAAAGAACTTGAGAATAGTGACAGATGGAACAGATTTACAGTAAGGTAGATATACAACTACAACTTATACTTACTTCATAAATGAGGGTATATATGGGGCAAAAGCTAAAGCTAACCAGACTTGCAAAACCTATATCTTTCTCTTGCTCTCCACTCTCTTATGGAAAGATGCCATAGAGGAATAAGAGTTAAATGACAAACCTTCTTTTTATTCGCAAAAAAACTTGTGTGGACATTCAACCCTGTGGTATGAAAAGACACGATTTGAAGACCAGAAGCTTACACCGAAGATGCTGCACGATCTGATTCTATCATGGATTTAATATAGAATTCACCTGCCTTGTATGAGGACCTAACCATGGGGCCAGACGCCACATATCGAAATCCCTGCCAGCAATTCAGGAAAATATATTAGCTAAACACAAATAATGCCAGTAAAGCAAACAAACACTTCCTCTTAAGCTTCAAGTTCAATCATGTTACCAGAAAATCTAGCAGTTCTAGATTTAGTCCCATTCGGTATTGCAGAAAATAGGTACAATAATAAAGAGAAAAGCTATCAGAGTTTTTTTGGGAATATTTTTCAAAAGACACGCCTTGGTTAGAACCAGTGTTTTAAAAGGCGTGGGCGTAAGCCGAGGCGTTTTACATATGACTCAGCGAGGCGTAAGTCCCGAGGCACGGGGGGCATAAGCCCCATAGGTATTTAATTTTTCATATTTTATAAAATAATATAATTACAATAAATATTTTATAAACAGGTAAAATTGCATAAAAAANTATGTGTGTGTGTGTGTGCGCGCGCGCGCGCGCTTCATCCCCACAAAAAACTAGTCAAAACAATCTATTGTACGGTACTTAGAAGCTCAAGTAACTTGAGTAGAAAAAAATAATGTTTTCTACATGGAGGAACAAAATGGATGACTAACCTTCAATTTGAACTTTGAACTTGCTGATACGAAAGAGAATGTTTCTCTTTGTATTTGTAAAAATAAAATTGAATATTCATTGCTTTTGGGAGATATTAGCAGACTAGCGGACAAGATAAAGAATTGGAAAAAACCATGAATTGGGGCTTCAATCAATAAAAAAGGTCTTGACTTTTAAATTTAATACATTTCAGTTCCTTTTTAAAACTTTTGAGTAATTACCAAGCTGAATTTTGAAATTTTGGGTATTATATGAATGACTTATTCAACAAACTTTGTTTTAATTTGAGAAAATCTCTGGGGCTTACCTCACTAAAAAAACTCGCCTTAAACGCCCGAGCGTACGCCCCGAACGCCCGGGCGTACGCCCCGAATTGCTGGGCGTACGCCTCTTGAGACTTTCGCCCTACACCATCACCCCGGGGCGTTTTTTGGTGCGCCTCGCCCCAGGGCTCGCCCCGAAAACGCCTTTTAAAACACTGGTTAGAACCTCACTGGCTGTGTCATTGTCCCAAGTGCAAGTAATAAGCTTTCACAGTGTTTATTCCGATCAGGCCAAATTGACCAATTATAAAATGAGACTAACTTTTTGTTACACACAAACTTTTTTAGAAAAAGGTGAAATTTAATTGATTTGAAAAACCATAGGTAGGCCTATGTAATTAGGACAAAACCTCAAGGGAGATAATTAATCCTACCAAAAAACAAGGCATGTAGGACCTATGTACGAAATAAAAAAGGTCATAAACAAACCATTTCCATGCCGAGTACACGATAGTTCTCAAAGGCCTCAGGAGTTATGTATTCTGATACAGGCATGTGACGCTTTGTTGGTCTCATGTACTGACCAAATGTCATTACATCAACCCCTGCTGCTCGCACCTTCTCCATTGTTTTAACAACTTGGTCAGGTGTTTCCCCACAACCCAACATTACGGACGTCTTCGTCAATGTACCAGCAGGGGCACAGTCCTTTGCCATCATCAGAACATCCATAGATTGCTTGAAGTTAGCACGATGATCTCGTACTACACGCTGAAGCTCTTCAACTGTTTCAATGTTGTGAGCAAAAACATCTAATCCAGATTTTGCAACTTTCTCAACACAGCTAGGGTCTCCTCGAAAGTCTGGAACTGCAGGATAAGAACAACATCAATACCACGACTTCTAGCATGGTAAGGTCAAAAAAATAAATAGAATCTGGGTTATCAGAAGGAAAAGGAAAATTCTTGGAAATAGATTTTTGAGAAGCTTGAAAATGTAACGATAACTTCTATCATGTTAATTACGTAGACAAAGTAACAAGTTCAAATGGCTAATACGTTACTTTCACTGTTGCCTTTTTCTTTTAAAAAAAAAAACTTCCAGAATGGAAACGGAAAAGAGCAGTTGGACGAAAATTGCTAGTCCGAACTTAAATGTCAAATTCATGCATGACCGGTGGCAAGTTGATTTTGTAGTTAGATTACCCAATTGACATTGATCTGGAAAAGGAATAGAACTAGACAAAGGTATTTTTTGCCAAATTTTTTATGTGTTCCGCCAATGGCAAAGTTGGAGAACACAACAACAACAACAACAAACCCACTACATTCCCTCAGGTGGGGTCCGGAGAATACACACTTAAGAAATTTCCTGCCAGAAAATACTACTGAAAATCAAATGCTTTAAAAGCTATAGGACTTTGAAGAGAAGTTGTAACCACCCACAGCTTCTTAGTTCATATATTTTCATTTTTCATTTAAACTAACACGTGTCTAAATATTTTCTTCCTTTATTTTACTATCCCAGAAGAACATTTTATGACACTGAAATGGAGCCTTAGACCTCCTTCAGAATTTGAAAAAGTTAAAACAAGGCAAAACACTTCTCTAAGTGTAACTTGGCAGTCAAAGAGAATGCATCAAAATGAAGTATTAGTTTTGATCATATTTCACATGTCTAAGACAAAACGAGATGTCAAAAATCTCAGACACATATCAAACATGTGGGTTTCAACGAAGTGTCATGGTTCCTATTGTTAAGCTCCTCTATCAATAGATTCTTAGCCACGACAAATCAGCCTATCCAGATGCTTAAAAGGGCATCATTGGGATTTCCCAGACCTTATCCATCAGGTACCAGATCAGTTGTCTTTCTATCAACCTAAAAGCAGTTATTTGGTTGGTCACAAACTTCTTAAAAACCATCAAATTAAAATAAAAACGACAAGCATACAAACTCCACTTCCATAAAATCAAGTTTAAAAAACATAAAAGCATGGAACTCATACCAAGTGCTTCTATGAGCATATTTGGCTTCAGGGTTTTCAACTTCTGCACTGTCTCAGCAAAATGACCGCTTCCTTGATCAGGTAGATCATCACGGTCAACACTAGTAATAACAACATAATCCAGACCCCACGAAGCAATGGCCTCGGCTACATTAGAAGGTTCATTTGGGTCCGGAGGGGGTGGAGTGCGTGATGTCTTCACATTGCAGAATCTGTTAAAGAAGCAGAGATCATTAAAAGGATCGTTTTCTCATATATTGCAACTTATTTCTCTCAAAATCCAAACTAGGCTACATAAAGAGGTCTCCTCTAACCTCCTCGAATCCTCAACGGATTATATAAACTACGAACTGGTGGACTAGGAAAGGAAAAGATGATCTAAATACAATGCGTCTTTCTTAATATTTTTCCTAAAAGAGAGTGTATTCACGCACTTTGCAATAACATCAACATCCTGGGGGTGGGTGGGTTTCGAGGCTATCAAATTGCTAAGTTCAAGGGGGTAATTAGGCCAAACATAAAGTTTAGGTGTGCACTGAATAAAGTCATCAAGTTCAGAGGACCCCGATCTATTTGCCTAAGACCTAACTAGTTATAAACTCTACGATAAATTCCTTAATATAAGTTGCAGAAAGCACCAAAAGCAAGAAAAGTTTAACAAAAGAGCGTAAACACCTTACCATTACCAACAACCACTAACACCTTCACCGACTCCTCTCACATGTCCAAATATACTCACATGGGGAGCAAGTACTAAAGGAATATACACAGTGAAAGCAGGATACCTACACAATATTAGCCAAAATGAAATGGTGGACAATTGGCCTTGGAAGCTCATCTGGAAAACAAAATTACCCCCCAAAGTTATATGTCATAGCTGGACTACATTGAAGGAAGCGTGCCTCACTCAAGATAATCTTTGCAAAAGGAGTATTCCCCATAGTTAATAGATGCTATATATGCCAGCAAGATTTTGAAACAAACAGACATCTATTTTTGCATTGTCCAGTTGCTACAGACATCTGGAATTCTTTTCAGTTTTAGGACTCAACTGGATGATGCCAGAGAGTATTAAAGATGCTTATAGTAGCTGGAGTTTATGGAAAGTTGGTAAGTCCATCAGCAAGATCTAGAAAATGATTCCTGGATGTATATTTTGAGCTATTTGGACAAAAAGGAACAGAAGATGTTTTGAGGGTTTAGCAACTCCAAATTACTCCTTGAAGGCTAATTGTATAGTTTTG